TTTCGGGCACATTTTCCTGATTATCTTATAAAAATATTGCATATGGATAATGCAAAAGAATTTGCATCAAAGTCTTTTGAAGACTATTGTACTACAACAGAAATCGAATTGACATATTGTGTTTCATATGAATATGCTCAAAATGGACTTGCAGAGTCATTTATAAAGCGTATATAACTCATTACGCGGCCACTCCTCCTTCACGTAAATCTACCTACATCTATGTGGAGTCATGCAGTTTTACATGCTGCAGCATTAATACGCCTCCGCCCTTCTTCTCTTGAAACTGTTTCACCACATGAACTCATTTTGGGTCGTGTTCCAAATATATCTAACTTACGAGTATTTGATTGTCGTGCTTGGATTCCAGTACCAAAACCTCAATGACGTATCATTGGAGCTCATCGATAAGAAGGCATATATGTTGGTTTTGATTCACCAAGCATTATTCGTATTGTTGATCCATCAACTCGCATATTATTACGTGCACGTCTGCAAAATTGTCATTTTGAAGAAACTGTATTTCCATCTCTTCAAGGAGGAGTATCCAATCAACAAAGAAATAAAGTACTCATATTTGAAGCACCAGAAATATTTACAATGAATCTCGATCCTAGGACATCTTTGGCAGAAACTGAAGTTGCTAAGATTTTGCATTTAAAACGGATCGCAGATGAAACACTTGATGGCTTCAATGATGCACCTAGAATTACAAGAGTTCCTATTAATGAGGCTCGAAATGCACCTGCTCAGATTGCAGTGCCATTGACTACAATACCTCAATTTATAACAACAACAACTAAAAGAACTCGTGGATCAGATAAGCAACCACGTAAGAAGAAAGCTATAAAATTAATTAATCCTGGTATTATTTCTCAAGAAATTGCCACTCATCTTGCAGGACTACCAATTCATGATGATATATCCATGCATAATGTACCTTCAATTCCTATGAAAAATAATCTTGGAATTGGAAGGAATAAGAACAAGTTGAGTAAAGAATTATCTATTCTGTATTGTACTATAGATGATATTTGGGACAGACCATCTATTACGGTAGATGAATCATTTGCATATATGATTATAGAAGCCCTTTCTTGCGAGGAAGATGATCCTGAACCTCAAACCATCGAAGAGGCGATGCATCGCTCTGATTGGTCAAAATGGAAAACTGCTATTGAGGAAGAGTATGCCTCTTTGCGTAAGAGGAAAGTCTTTGGTCTAATTGTAGACACTCTTACATCCCGCCTTGTGGGATATAAAATGGTATTAATACGCAAGCGAGATGCTCAAGGCCAAATAATCTACTATAAAGCTCGTCTTGTTGATCAAGGATTTTCTCAACGATTTAGCATTGATTATGAATCCACATATTCTCTAATCATGGATTTAAGTACATTTCGATATATTATTAGAATGACAGTTCATGCCACCCTTGAGATGCATCTGATGGATGTAGTTACTGCATATCTATATGGTTCTCTTGATGCAAATATTTATATGAAAGTTCCACCTGGCTTAGAAATAGGAACTCCAAATCAACCCGCTCCAGAAAAATATCGTGGTATTAAATTATGTAAGGCCTTGTATGGTTTAAAATAATTCGGACAAATGTGGTATCAACGTCTTCAAGATTATTTAATTAAAAATAATTTTATAAGTGATCCACTAATCCCTTGTTTATTTATCAAACAAGATAAAACTGGTTTTGTGATCATCGCTGTATATGTTGATGATCTTAACCTAGTGGGCACTACAACTACATGTGTTAGAGCTACAAACTTACTTATACATGAATTTGAGATGAAAATGCTAAGAAAAACAACTTTCTGCATTGGTCTTCAGATTATGCATCTTACAGATGGTAGCATTTTTCTCTACCAACTAACGTATATTAGACGAATTTTGCAAAGATTTAATATGAATGATGCTTATCCATTGTCCACACCAATGGTTGGACATGGTCGTGATGGTCATGATCCATACCGTCCATGCGAGGAGGAGGAGGAAATATTGGGAGACCAATATCCATACCTCGCAGCGGTTGGAGCACTTCTATATTTAGTTATATCTACAAGACCAGATATTGCATTTGCAGTTAATGTTCTTGCAAGACATAGTGCACGTCCAATACTACGACATTGGAATGGCATCAAACATTTATTACGTTATTTAAAAGGTACTGAAGACTTGGGATTATATTACACAAAAACTGCAGATCCAAAATTGGTTGGATATTGTGATGCAGGATATAAATCTGATATTGCAACAACTAAATCTCAAACAAGATATGTATTTTTAAGACATGGAGCTACAATATCATGGAAATCAGTGAAACAAACAATAACTACAACTTCATCCAACTATGCAGAAATTATTGCCTTACATGAAGCATCTCGAGAATGTATTTGTTTGCGATCAATTGATAAATTCATTCAAACAACCTGTGGATTTTGATATGATGATTCTCCAACTATCTTGCATGAAGATAATAGTACTTGTATTGCACAGATGCAAGTTGGTTTCATTAAAGGCGACAGGACAAAGCATATTGATCCAAAGTATTTTAGTTATACTCATGACTTGATTACTGATCAAGCACTTATAATTAAGAAAATTGAATCTACAAATAATCTTGCTGATCTCTTCACCAAAGCTCTCCCATTAAGCAATCATCGTTGACTTACTTATCGCATTGGTATGCGGCGACTTGCTTTTCTTCAATAAGAAAGTTAAAGAGCTCTTTAAATAATTAAAGAAAATGATGTTGTACTCTTTTTCCTTCATCTATGGTTTTGTTCTTAAAAAAAATAAGGTTTTCCTAGATAAGGTTTTAATGAGGCAACAATTCTTGATCTTACAAGATCACAGAAAAGTATAGATCATAAATCTATATAAATCTTATATTATGTAAATATTATGATGAGCGAGGAGGGGATGGAGCTTGAAGGACTCGCGTGTCCCCACCTCCACCGCGTGCCGCTTGCGCTACCTTCGGAGATACTGTATTCAGTATTCTGCGTGCTGTCGTTCCCCCTTCCGTTGCTGTATCCCGAAAAGCTATGGTGATAAAAGGGAACGGAGAGACTGGGCGATCCAAAACCTATCTGGTATTGTGCCTCGAACTTGCTGCGATGTTAGCTGTGCCTATGACAGGGCTGAGGCTGCTGTGCCCCCATGAACCCGGCTCATGGGCTACCTACAGTCGATCGGCTTCATTTTGCTGCAGGCCTTCATTGCGGACACCATTGCTGGGTGGATAGAGGATTCCTCGATCGTTTCAGGCATCTGTTCTTCCGATCAAGTGGACTGGTGATCCGTCCATGTGTTTCTTCGGGAATGCGCGACGTCGGAGAGAAGGGGATCTATGTTTAGAAATTAAAAGATGTGGAGAGTGGTGAGCTTCGCTGGAAGTCAACTAGATTAGTACTGTTGAGAGTGGACAAAACCTCCCTTCCATACTGTGCAGGAAACTGGAAAGTCCACCATAGAAGGGTCCCCGTTACTGCACATGGTTGTGATCACAATCGCTCTGTTAAAACATTATGCTGCGTAACTTTCAGGGAAAGATTACATCATGAATCGAGTTGTTCTAGTCGAGCACAGAATAGAAAGAAATCACCTACGGTTTGGGAACAATGGAAGCGTATTGGGGGAAATCTAGTTCAAGTTAACGTCATGACAGTTAAGCTACCAATTATAGGTATTTCGAAGTCAACGCGGTTATTATTCTCGCAGGACCATTTATGTAGTGTTTGGAACTTGCTGAGAGCTGGGCAGCATTTGGTTTATGTCCGGGGCGAGATCAAATAGCGTCTCCAGTTATCCGAGGTGATCAGGTGGGCGTCCGCAGCGACTTGGGTAGTCATTTCCCCTCCCGATCCGAGCAGTCGTCCATTTAATTCAATCGTGTAAATTACAAATGGCCATGAACGATGAAACAATTCAGTGGCTCAGAACACAGGACACAATTCAAAGATATCATTGGCGGGGCGCTGCTTCATCCCTGTTGGGTTGGTGTGGAAGATCGGTGCCCAAATATTTAGTGGGTGTGCTTTATCTATTCTGGCGTGAATGGTTTCCGAGATCTATGCTGGCCATTCAAATCTATCATGGTGACCTGATCGGAGTAGCATCATTTAACCAATGGACATGTGCAGGACCTTTTGTTTGACTGTCATTTTGAGCTGGTTCACAATCACATTTGACACAGTGACGAACACTACGGGCTACGTCATAAATAGTGCGTGTCAACATCTTAGTACGTAGTTATTTTTGTCACTTGTCTTGCTGTAAATGCTAATGGGTATTTGCACACAAGCACTTTCAATGGTGACTCATTTCTTAATAAGTTTGCCGTTACATTCCTTGTTTCAAGTTGCAGTTGGGTTGCTATTGCTTGTTCCTGTCCAAATTTGGTTTGGCTGAAATGATTACAGATTTATAACCAGGGTGAACAAAGTTCATTTTTCAACTTTTAAATAACTTGTCTACCTGGAAGAATATTCCTATGCACTGCTTTAGGTTAATAGTCAGCTTTGGAAAGGAACAGGCAAGGACTGGATTATCTCTGTTCAAACAGCCGCTACGAGGTTGAGATGAGTAATGTGTTCGCGTTGAGAATTGAACTCTTGTGAACTGTTTCGATGTTTAAATTAAATCAAGCAAGAGGTGCATTTGTCCTTTCTATGATGTCACCTATTCAGGATATATCACTTGTTCTTTCCAAAATAGTGGCATACTGTAATTATGAACGTTACTATTGTGAAGCAAATGCCGAAATATTGCAGCTGTAAAGTTGGAGGGGTTCTGTATCCATCTATTCAAAATACTCATTTAGATTGAGGATGCTTTGCAGTTTTAGGCCTCAGAGAACTTTTCCACTAAATTCCCTCCAACAGCTTGTTTCTTCAGATCTTCATCCACACACCGTTCATTCCATTCACAAATATGATAAAAAGGACAAATTTAAGATGGCATGTGATAAGATAATCTCTCCATTTTACAGTTGGCAAAGCCCACCACAGCAGGGAAGAAAATAAAAATTTACTATTTATGGATAAGACCATAAAAAAAAGATATTAAGGTCTAGTCTGGGTGCAGCCACTGCCAGTTCCCAGCATTCCATTTGGCATACCATCGACTGGTTTCATCTATACGACGAATACAATCCATAATGGATGCTCTTAAAACCTCGAAAAATCTGAGTTATTACAAGATCATGATTTATGCTAAACGAACGATCATGAAGATAATCAAACCGATAGATCTTTGATGTGCGGCTAGAGATTAATATATTAAAATAATCCAACTTCGTGCTGAGGCAGAGTCATTGCTCGAAAGCTGATGATGGTAATCGACAAATGGATCCTTGTCGATTAATAACGTATTGCATCAAGCACTTTGCAATAATATACGACTTAGAAGAATACCCAACATTAGAAACTCACTGATTGACGGTAAGAAAGACAGTAGGCCACAGTTATCCAACAGCTTCGTCGGATCCCAGCGCATTCTTCAATGCAGCAACAATGTCATTCGTCGGCATAGTCGTCTCCACTGGCTGGAACGCAAACAAGAAAACAAGAAAACCTTCTTCAGATCTGTATATCCTACCCTAAACTTTACTGGAAGTAGAAGCGCATTCGTAAAAGAATCTTGCACTAGGATAACACCACAGCCGCTAACGAAACGTTTACTGCTGAAGATTGACATTAATCACGACATTAAATGCATACTAACATAATAGATGAGACATTTACAGGGACATGTAAACAGAGTCGGCCAATTTACAAATGTTTACATTAGTAAGCCAAGCATCCAGACACCTCAGGTTCTAAGTAATTAGCCACACATGGAATTCTATCCTCAGAATGGACATCTAACGAGTGGACACACAACGTGCACGAACCGCAGAATTGAAACCACTGAACGAGTTGAAAATGTTCCGATGTTTAAACTGCACCTTTGCAGTGATGACACATACGAGCCGATGCGCGACCTTAGTGATGCAGCAATGCGTAATATCAAGGTTCATGTGCTCCAAATACTGCAAAATGTTACTTTGGAGGCGGGGCTGGTGCCGGCACACCAGCTCAATGACCACCTGGTGAGGCAGGTCCGCGTGAACCTCTATTTTCTCCAGACAGTTTCGGAGAAGAGAATGGATTTTTGAAAGCTCCTCTTGTGGGAGGGTAGACCTTGGAGTGGCTACAGGTCTCTCTTGTAGTTTACTAGGGCTGACAGGATACGGCTGCAAGACCTTTAAGGCCACTCTCCGGCATCCATTAGCAATTTTCCCGACGGACTTAACGGCGACGGCCTGTTGCAATTGCAACCTCCGCTGCTGAAGTATTTGGATACGATGATGCAGATTCTTCACGTGCACAATAGAATCGTCGACTATAGTCGATCTGTCACGCTGAAACCAGTTTTTTTAAATGTTAGCTCCCAAAGATAACACTTTGACCTGAAAGAACCCACAATCTTCGAACTCCAAGTTTACTGCACATGTGAAATGATACAAGTCGTCCTCCCCACAAGCCCCGAAGATTATTGTGGGCACTTATACATCCACCAAAGACCACTCGCAGAGAAGTAAATTCAATGATAAGCGCGGTAAGATTCGAGAGGTAGGTATCGAAAAAGTAGTAGAGCTAGCAGTAGGATGGAAGCAATATTTACTTTCAAACCAATTGGTAGAAGAGATTCCAAGATCGCAAACTTGCTGGTCATGTCATCTCTTCGCTGTCGCTCTCGCAGAATGTGGTCAACTTGCTCTGAGGGCCGCTTAGACTTCACCTGCTTCTCTATGATCTTGCAGGGCTTTAGGTTAACCGGACTTAGACCGACATCCCGCTCTACTGGCTGGCGCGCGGTCGGGGTTCCTTCTACCCACTGCTCTCTGGCAACCTGGTGCTGTAACGGCACAGACGAGATACCGACGTGCGTCTCCCCCAGCCCCACCCTGGGAATTGATCCATACGGCAAGGACGAGTCAGTACTAACTGGGGCATTATAGTGATTCTCTTGATCAATCACCTGCGGCAACACGTCTTCGAGCAATCCGAGCCCCCGGTCGATGCCCGTGGACGGCTGCCAAAACCCCATCGACGTCATACACGTCCCGTAACCCCTCCCGTTCATCAAACCCAATATATCCGCATCTTGCAGCACGGCGCATTGATGCTCGACCACCTCCTCCTGCAAGGAAGTATTCGGCATGAGGTCGCTCAGGGAGTGCTGCAGCCCCACATTACCACCCACCATCCCATAGCTCTCCCTCCCGTAAAAGTTCGGAATCCTGCCGGGCTGGAACCCGCTTGTACTCAAGCCCATGTTGCGCGCTTCTCCTAATGTTAACATCACCACAACTTCTCCCTACTTCACCAGTTCTAAACCTCAATTCCTCCCTCCGCAACAACTCTGCCAGAGTAGACTACAGTAACACCAACTTTATCCTGCTCAACCTTCGCACTTCATAACGAAACTGCTCCTATTGCTGCCACACCAACCCCCCGCCCTCGTCTAGACACTCGTCCTTCCCGATCGGCTACTTGTGCTACCTTGCTGTTGCTGTCGTGATGTAGGCAAAACGAGAAGGCCAGCAACGCCCATGCTCGTCACGCACTGCGGAGGCAATCATGTGGCCATTCCTCCGAACCCCAATCCCCCAACCTCGTCTCGCCCTCGCGAGCCTGCACCACAAGCACCAACTGATCCTGACCGGTTGCGATATACCGAGCCGTGTAACCCGCCAGCCTGCAGGGCCCGATGTGGTTCGACGGCCAATCCAACGGCCCAACTTGCCCCCTTGCGAGCTTTCCGAACGACGGCGACCAGCACTCACCGGAAGGGAGAGGCTCGACGAGGATCAGTGGCCTCTGTTGGAACCTTTTAGTTCTCTGGTCACGACTTTGTCATTCCCTGAGCAAACTGGTTGTTTTACCATGAAACTCCAGGGTGCGAGGTTGCAATGACGCCATGATGCTCATCAGCCACAACCAAATATGCCGCATGCCCATCTCCCATCCATGCATCGGTTCGGACAAACCCCGGTGAATGTAAAATTTCCTCAGAGCGCCTTAGTTCCAGTACCTTTCACAGCGCACACACCTCACACTCTCTATTATTGTCTCACCTTCAATCCACGTCAACTCGTCCGCTCCTTCGGGGCTAAACCCACCTGCACCCTAAGTTGCGAAGCTGAACAAGCATTGCTCCATCCCTTTCAGTCGTGGAAACACTGCTTGAATCGAATACAAACCTCGAGACACTGTCGCTGACCTGCTCAGCCTCAGGAAAGGCACCGCACCCGCATCTTTGAGAACACGATCCAAAGCTCACATTCGAGGAAAAAATCAACCAAAGACAGGAAGTCAAACCAAGTTTTTAGATGTATTTATTTATTTATTTATTTTCTTTTTACCATCTGTATTTCAAGATCAACAGGCGCATCCATGGTGCACATCTCAGCCGCTTTCAGCACAGCCCAGGAGTTTAGCTTTCCCACTTCCTGAGCTAGTTTGCCATGTTACTAGATTTGCAAAGAAAATCCACATCACATCACAAAAGAAAACAAAAAAGGCAACGCACTGATGTGATGAAGACATGAGATGTGTTTTAGATGTACAATCTTCAGCCACATTGTGTTGGCATTGTTGATTTCTATTTTTTCATGTGTTTATTTTCCTGGTGTTCTAGAAAATTTATCTTTTGACCCACTTGCTGAAATGCAGACAGTTCCCTGTTTTGGATTTGTGCATAGAAAAATTGGAAAATTGAAGATAGGTTTGGAATACTCTTCTAGAGTGGCAACACCATGCACACACAGTTTTCATGCATGTTATACCTACATTCTCACTTGAGATCACCTAATGTGTTTGTTTTTTTCTGGTTTGATTCATATATATATATATATATACATTTACTGCAATGCAAATATAAAAAATATTTTGACTTTTCAAATGTCATCAATAAGTTTGAATATTCACAGTAGTAGATAGCAATTTTTATTTGATATTTTGTCAATATTATTCTATGATATAAAAATGTCTTATATTTTACGTTGAGTTATTATTTTCATTATTATATGGATATGAGTTATAGTGAGCTTGCTTGCCACATAATTAACCTTTTGTGAAGGTTCTTATGAGGGGCAGAGAGGGACAAGCAAGGGGGAGCGAGGGACACTATTCTCAATAGCATAGTGTATATATTATTTGGTGGGCTCTTAGAGCATTTTTTGGCCTATTAATTAGGATTCTTGTAGTTTTAATGCTTAGCTTGGAGAAATTATGAATGCATAAATATGTTGTTTCAAAACTTAGTAAAAAAAAACTCTAATTTTTGTTTTACATTTTGTATTGTATATTTTCAATTTTATATATGTGATTTCATTTTTTTTAACAACAAAGTAGTCAATTCAGGACTACAAACATTCAATATTTTTTTTGTTGTTTCTTGTTTGAGTGTTTGTTTTGAAAAGTCTATTAGAACTTTTAAATTTTATTTTATTTAAAATTTATTTTAACATGACTTTTATAAATATGTTATTGTAAACGTATTTTAATTTTCTCATAATAAATTAAAATGTATATCAATAATAATATTGAATTAATATCATTATTACAATAAGCACAATGTGTATGCATAATTCATGTAACTGCATAATTAATCTTAAAAAGCGTTCACATTTCTTTATTTTTTATTTTGGAATTTTTGAATTTTTTTCGAATTCTATGAATTAATTTAAATATTTTATTAAATAATAGTAGTGATAAATAATTATTTTTTAATATTTTTAATATTATTCATTATATATATTATTAATATTAAAGTAAATTTAAATCCTAAAAAATATTTAAATACATTTGTACAACTTAAAATTGAAATATATATATATATATATATATATATATACAAGTTATACTTTTGAACCCATTGATTCAAATAAAAATAAAAGTATCAATATATTATATATTTCTTCAGTATAATAGTAGATAAAAACTAAAATTTTATTAATATATCTTATTATGATGTTTTAATCTTCAAAGAATTTATTTTCATTTAATAAGAAGTTTTTTTTTAATCAATATTCTAAAATATAATATATAAAATTATTTATATTATTAATTTATTTTAATTTTTATATGATGTATTTCATAAAAAATACTTACTAATTTAAATATATTCTATATAAATTATTGATATTGTTCTAATTATTTTATGTTCTTTATAAAACTGTATTATATTAAAAGAAGATAAAAAAATTATATGGAATATTTATATATATATATATATATATATATATATATATAATTAAAAAATTATTTTTTAATTATACATTTACATCTATTTTTTTACAAAATAATTATATCTATTAATAATTATTGCAATAAAATATCATACTTTGTAATCCTAAGATTTTTTTAAAATTAAGCATATTAATACTTTAGGATTTTAGAAAAAAATAATTTAATTAATAAAAGAAGATAATATCGTATTTAAAATTTAAAAATAAAAATTATAGAACAATAATAGTAAAAATAGTAATATAGCAACTATACATGTTGCATATCATGAAAGTAGCTCAAAGCTAGGTTATATGTGTTAGCAACAATGCAACTACAAACACCTTAGTATTTGGGATTATATCAAATAATGAGTTTGGGAAATTTAATTCAAATAAAATATTCTAAAAATTAATAAAAATTAATAAGATTTCAAAAATAAAAAAATTTAAATATTAATTAGTATTTTTTTATAATTTAAATTATAAAAAAAGTAATTATAATAAAAATATTACTATATTAAAAATGATAAATTTTTATTAAAAAATCTTTTAAATTGTCTTTAAACAACGGTTTTTTTATTTGCACAATTTTATTGGACATACATAAATACTAATTTTTTATTTAATAAAAGATGTAATATTTGATTAAAAATAGCTTTTTTGACATCACTAAAAAAATATACATTCTAAACTTATACAAAAAATGTAAAGCATAATATTATACAAAAGTAAAATCCTAAACAAAATCTATTTAATTATCTATCTATTAATTATTAGGTAAAGATTTTAATATAAATTATTTTGAAAAAATTACTTGAAGAATGTAAAATTATCAAAAAAATCTTCAACAAATAAATTAAAAACTATATTTGATATAAATGAGAGCAAGTTAATAATAATATGTTCTATAATTATCATTATACATGAGTCAAGATAATGAGATTTTTTTAATTATTAATATTTTAACCAAAGCTAAAATAAGTTTTTGTATTAGATTGCATTTGCTTTTATCTATCACTTAAATCATTTACTTATAAATCTTACAAGAAATTTAAAACTAGTCTTTGTAAAGTTTTTTTAATTACTATTAATAAACTAACTTCAAAAGATTATTTTAGTTGAAATTAGAACTATTTTTTTAATTATAATAAAACATAATCAATAATAGTTTTAATAAGTTCTCAAATTAGTTATGATATTGACAATATAATCTTTTTGAATGAAAACAATCTAAACAATCAATACAATCTCTTAAGCAAAATAATTGTTAACAATCAAAAATAAAATTTCTACAATCTTTATCAATAGTCAAACTGTTGCTAAAAAAAGACAAATTATTACAACTTAAGTATTATAAAAGACTATATGAGTAAGCTCCTAAGTAAATATTTTATTTAATTTGAATGTCTTCTTTGAACATATAGCATATTGTTACAAAATAACTTGTATCAACCAACAAAAAGAGACTTTAAATTAGTTTTTGTTTACTACAAAACTTAAAGAAGAAATTATTGATGTCTTCATTACGAAATACATATATTTTTAAAGTACCATTCTAAAGAAATTGATTGAAAATACCACATTCTACTTGATAATTAAAAAGAATTATGATTGATTGTAGAACTTAACAATTTAGGATAAAAAAGTGTTAAAAATAATTATTAATCTTTAAAAATATTAAATTTAATTTTTATCTTAATTTATGGGTAGTAACATTTAAAATTCTCTGTAAAGATATTCTATGAAATAATTAGAAAACTAGATTTGTATCTAACAACAATCTCAAGTACAAGTATAATACAACTCTCATCAACCATTGGTACAAGCATGCTGAATCTTGGAGGTAGATTTATATTCTGCAATTCAACAAAACCAATTACTACTAATAATCTTAAACATCATTGTCTAGTATAGACATAATGCTCATGGCTTCTATAGAAGTAAGGTCTACTTCATATTATTAAAAAAAATGTACTCAAAGTATTTGTTTGACAAATGGTTATATTTACTCAAAGTATTTTAGATAATTATAAATTTTATTATATTTTAGATAATCTTATTTTTTTATTATATTTTAGATAATCTTATTTTTTTATTATATTTTAGATAATTACAATTTTTACGTAATTTTCACATAATGATTTAGAAAACATGACAAAAGTATTTTAGATAATTATAATTTTTTCTCCTTCTTACATATAATTAACATTAAAACTACATACCATGTCTAATAATGGTATTAAATAATTTCTTTCAATTGATACAACTTTATAATTATACAAACATAGATTAGCCAACCTACATATCAGAGTTTGGATGTAAGTTTTTGGATTGTGTGAAAACAAAATCACAATAAATATTTTAATCCAGACTACAATGCCTAGCGAACGTCCTTTTTTCCTTTTTAGTCGTCTCTTTTTCATCCACGAACAGAAAAGACCTTCATTCACATCCAACAATCCAAGCAGGCTGCTTTCCAGGATGTCACGATCAGTTCTTGTCACTGGTAGGACCTATGTCAAATCCGACGTGGAATTCGTGACGGGCTATTACCGGTGGAACTTACGTCCAAGTTGTGGTGAAACAACAGTGACAGGCGACGGGGGAGGAGCACCGGGACCTTTACCTGTGGAATCCACGTCAGGTCCGACGAGGAAAGGTGACTAGGTATGGCTTGAGGAGTTGTAACTGGCGCTAACCCCCGTGGAAACATACGTGCATACCAAAGCCATTTTCATTTCTACAGTAACTGGGTGCCTCACTGGCCACGATATGCTTTCATAGCAGGGCTTCAGTCTGCTGCGCCTGCAGTGGCCGAATCGCACTGGGTTGTTGTTTTTGTGGGTTCAGCTTTCAGCGATTCTCTTTCTATCTCTTTCCCCCTGTGACTGCAGCAGACCTGGCAA